CTGTAAGTGAAGCTTTCTCACATCCTCACTGCTCTTAGTAACACGGTCGAGAATAAACATACCTGACAGGTCAAATAATTGTTGCTGTTGATATGACTCACTGCCAGCCTCACATTGAGGAACTTAGGGTGTGCATCTGCGAGAGTGTGTGTGTGTGCGCCTATTCCTTGGCCTCTCCCCTATAGAGCATCTTTTTCCCACTTTGAGGCACCTTGATCTTGGTGCGGACACCCAAGTTCTCATTCTGACTTCCCCTGAATGGCTCCCCTTTTTGCTGCCTGCCCAAATGTTTCCATTATCCCAATTAACCACACCCAGAGGCCAGGGCACCGCCCTTTCACCCCAACCATCTTGCTGGCAGCACCCAGCGTCATCCCCATAATGTTGGTGACATTATGCAGTTAGTGTACATCCTGTTTTCTTCTTTTCCCACCTTTTTAATTTTAGCTTCACACGCTTGCCCTATCTAGTCCTCTGTAGAAACTCCTTCTCTCACTCTTGGCTTCCACTGAGATTTCTCCAAAACCAACACTCGAGCAGGGGCCGTGGTGGGTGGGGGTGGGACAGGCCGTCCTCTGGGCCATTTCTACCACCCTTCCTCTGCTCATCATTATTTGAAGTCTTTGCCTTTTATGTCCACAGCCTTCTTGAAATCTATAGCTCAGCATCCTCTGCTGACCCATTTTCACATCCTTAGGTGATTCAGTAACCTGAACCTGTTCGTGGTCTTTTCTCTAGTCCCCGCTTCCTGGCATTTAGTTATGAGCTCAGGCTCATCATGTTGAGGAACCCCTCAAGGGTCCAGATCTTACACCACTTGGGCCAAGCACTGAAAGCCTTTATCTTACAAGACAGTTCTTTCTCAACATCTTTTCTGTCAGCATGTCCAATCCACATAGTCCCTCTTCCTCTCTTGGATCATTTCTTCTGTTTCTTTTACTTATTCACCCTTCACTGGGCATCCCTACTCTTGTCGGTCTGAACTACTCTGCACCTTTTTTTGACACTGTTCCCGATAGGCATTGACTATGGATGGAAGGAAGCAAGATGGAGTTTGAGCCTGATGACCATGATTCACTTAGATTCCTGCTCAGATAGGTGAAGGGGAGTGAGACCGAGGTTCAGTTGATGGTACCCAACATACATTATATAACTATGGCTACCTAAAAAAAATTACAAACGCTGCAAATCCAACTAAAGCTTTCTTATTACTTACCTCTCCTGCTTTATTTCTCAGAGATAACCATTATTATCAATCCAGTGTCCACTTTTTCCAGTCCTTTTTCTTCAAATATGTTTGCATCTCTTACTAAAATAAGCTCCATGGGAATGGATAGCAGGTACCCGATTACTACTGGGTGAATAAATGAATGCACATATGTGAGTGTATATATTTGCATATGCATTTTGATGTAAATCATATGCTTTGTGCATATTACTTGGCAGCTTTCTTGTTTTGCTTAACAGCATATCTTGCAAATATTTTTATGCCACCATAAATTGCTCTGTTTCAGCCAATAGTACTCCTGCATAGTATTGTATGTTATAGATATTTATTTGTTTATTCTTTTACTGATGGATATGTACATAGTTGCTATATTTGCCACTTACAAATAATGCTATAACATAAATTCTGGCAAAATTTTCTGCCTACCTGTACATGTATTTTTCTGGAACTGTTTCTTTGAAGGGCATCATGGAGCAAGATGTTCTGTGTATTTTTAATAACCGTGACCAAATCGCCCTCTTCAAAGGCTGTTGCAGTTCACATTGTAGCTGTGGATGAGAAGATGTATTTCCCCACATGCATGCCAGTGTCTGATATTATCAATTCCTTTAATTTTGCCGCTCTGATGGGTGAAATGCTGTTTGTTTTTTGAAATATTCGCATTTCACTGATTATTAGTTAGCTTAAGCATTTTTCAATATGTTTGTTCACCTTCTACACTATCTGTCCTGTATACATTCTCTTATTCTTTTTCTCCAGTTTCAAAGGAAGGAATTCCCCTCTTGGTGCCCAAGAATGAATTCCTCATGCTTCCTTGTTTCTCAGTCTCTAGGGTCTTCAATTTCCTTGTTTTCATAGATTTCTTCCAAACATAACCAGATTGCAGTTATCTTGCTATCAAAGACTTGACTCAACTCCACCATTCCCTCCAACTCCCCCCTTGTTCTCTCCGCCCCTATACTCGTCATATGAGGGCTCCCATCTGCTCCTCTGACCACCCCTGATCACTGATCCCAGGGGTTTTCCTCAGTCCTAACCTCGCCAAGCGCCTTTAAGTCCTAGTGCCTTTTCTTTTCAGTCACTGACTTCTCTTAACTCCCAGATGCCATCCCAAATCTCTTCTTACCTCTAGGACTAACTTCTGTCTTCCTCAAGTTTTTTTTTTTTAAGTTTCCTTCCTTTGCCAATAAAAATGTGGATTTTCAGTGATTCCTGTGTTTGGACCTTTGTTCTTTACCTTCCTAGTAACTCTGGAAATCGCATCCATGCCAAATGTTTCAACTACTATCTTTGCGGAAAAGACTCCCAAATCAGCATCGCTAGTCCTGACATCTCATTAAAAGTCCATCTTTCGGTGGCACTTTTCCCACTGAATTGGTCCGCTGTAACTTATTATGCCCCTGTGTCCCAAAGCAGTCCTTATAATTTTACTAATTGTTGTGGGTAACAAAAGGGAGAAAAACCTTATTTTCTAAGTGGCAGAGCTCTCCTTAGACAGAGACTCATTTTGTCTGCTAGATACTCAGATGAGTTATTTTGGTGAAGGGGGTACCATCCGAAAGGACTGAGCTCATACACGAAGAGGTGGTCATGGAACTGCTTTCCAAGTGGGGCTGATCTGCGGTGACACATTTGTTTTGTTGGATATACTTTTCAAGAGCTGAATTGTCTGGGATGGTAATGAGGATGGGAGTGGCTGCGGAAAGAAAGCAGAGGAAAAAGGCAGCAGTGTGGCAGGTCGGGATGGAGAATGAGGAGATGTGTTTCTAAGGCATCTGCCACATGGAAGGAGCTCCAAGCTACCAAGTTTCAACAGTAACCAGAGAGTCAGGAGCCAGCTATCCACTCTGATCCGACTTCACCCTCCAATCTGCTGCACCATCTCCAGAGACGAAGATAGCATTGGAGATGCTATCTCCCTGGTGATGACACTGAGCCAGCGCAGCTGGTGAGTGACATCAGCGCTCCTCAGCTATGCAAGACCCACACGGCCTTCGTGGGTGTGGCAGTCTGCCAGCCTGATGGAAGGAGGACATGGTCCCACCCAGAGAAAGAGCCGTTCCCTCCTTCTTGTATCTGCTGCCTTCTCCTGTCCACCCTCCCTCCATTCACACCCCCGCTCAGGACTAACTCAACGAAAATTCCGGGAGCAAAGACCAAGGAGAACAGAAAGGGAAGGAAGAGGAGGAAGGAGTTTGTGTGTGTCCATATGGGCACCATCTATCTTGGGCTGACTCCCCCCGATCCTGACGTGCACAGACACTATATTGAGTTCTATTAGCAGGTTTATAAAGGTTGAGATTGAACAATGGCAGAACACCACTGGCTTCTTTCGTTGCCTACAGCTACTTTTCACTGTTACGTTCTAAATGTTCACAGGGTGCACGCTATGCTAACCATGCCCTTCGTCATCTTCTAAGTAAATATTATAAGAGGATTCATTACATTTAGAAAGAATAGAAGTAAAAACACTCCCACAAATACAGTGTATTCAAATGCAAACAAAAAATGTGCTACAGCTGAAAGGTTGTTAGAAGCAAGAACCCCAACATTAACTTTAAATTGTGTTCCTGCAGCCTCAGCAACAATAACAGATACATCAGTAGACCGTGATGACATGGGAACCCATCACGAATGTGTGCTTTGCTTCAGGCTCACTGGCCGCTTCTACTGCTCTCTTTCCCAGGTACCCAAGTACCCAGCTTTCTCCTCTCCGGCACATCCAGCCCCAACTGAGTCATTGTTTTGAAAAGGAATCTCAAAGAGAAGGGGCAGTTCCCAGGAACACGTAGGGTTCCTTTGTCTCATTTCAACAGAATGAGGTCATACCAGCTGCCTAGCAGATTCTCACCCTTAGCTGTTACGAATCAATGGCCAGACAATGCTTCTGATGTCTCTGTCACACCCTCGGCTCCACCCTCTACCGCATCTCATTGTAAACCTTCCACTCTTTGCGGCAGGCTTTCCCTGCAGTCTAAAAAAACAACCAGCGCTTAGGAGTGCATGCAGTGCACCAAGCAAAAGGCATCCTTCAACCATCTGTAGGCATTACAATCCTTATTTTAATTTCACAGATGAGAAAATGGGAGATCAGAGTTTGCCAGGGGTTTCTAACCAGCAAGAAGCAGAGCAGTGATTAGAACCCAGATCTATTTGATTCCAAGCCCCCGTGATGCGTCCTCCACCTCACGCTGTATTAAGAGGATAAATTAGATCCAGCGAGGTTGTTGGTGACACAAGGAACAGAGGCCCGGTTTGATCAGTGCAGGCGCTGACCCGGCTGTGAGGGTCTCAGATCCTGTCCGCCAGGATGAGAAGCATGCAGATCCCTCTGCTGGCTGGCCGGGCAGCTCCCCACCTTCCCGCAGGGCTGAGCTCTTTGGCTTTGAAAACCCTGAAGACCTAGATCTCTGGAGCCTTGATCTGCTTTTTTCCCCAGCTACCCGGGAGCCGTGTCCTGTAGCTGGTTTCCAACTTCAGATAGATCAAAATCCCCCTCCAGCAGGCTGCCAGAATCACGATTTCTGGGACAGTGGCAGTCCTGATGGGCTCCTGGGGGAGCCAGAGAGCCATCTCTTGTTTACAGGTACCTGACGAGTCATTAAACCTATTTTACGCTCTAGGACCCCGGCAGGATTTTCACACGGAAAACCAGTGCAGGGTAAAGCTGCTTCCCAGGCAGGGTGGGGGCGATTCACCACACACTTACAGGGGTGGCTGGCCTCATTTCCTCCCCAGCTGAGGGGAAATGTTTCCTCTACCCCGAGGGCCTGCAGATCTCCAAGAGGGAGGGGCCGGCCACCTCTCTGGCCCTGTCTGCCAGGCTGGTTCAGCTGACTGCTGGCTGGAACCATGCTCTGCTCCCTCTCTGCCCTTCTCCTGGGCACTTTCTTAGCGGGTGCCCTCCTCCTTGGTAAGCCTCCCCCAAGTCCTCACCCTCCCCTGACCCTATGAACCCAGAGCCTCAGCTACTGGTTGGATAATCTTGAGTACCTTCCTTTAATTGGCGGGAGTGAATATGGGACTTTATGGCTGGGGTGCTGGGTCTTGGTTTCCCTGTCCCCCTGGGAAGGAGTTTGCTCTCTGGGTGTCCGCTTGCCCAGTGACCCTCTGCACCCTTGGCCCTCCCAATGCACTTCCTGTAATTGACCCCACTGGCATGAGCCACGGAAGCATGTGAGTGACCCCTCTGTCCGAACAGAAGGCAAGCTGGGCTGGATTCTTCACTCTGAGTGGCCTTTACATTCCTCACAGGTGCCAGAGCTCAGACCATCCATCAGTGGCCACCTACCAAGATCCAGCGTGTGGGCAGGCCACTCTCCCTGGACTGCACAGTGAAGGGGACATCAAGCCCCAACCTGTACTGGTACCGGCAGGCCGGAGGTGGGGCCCTCCAGCTGCTCTTCTTCTCCATCAGTGCTGGCCACGCAGAGTCTCAGGCGCCCCAGCACTTCACAGCCTCCAGGCCCCAGGACGGCCACTTTAGCCTGCATTCTGAGAAGCTCCTCCTCAACGACTCTGGCCTCTACCTCTGCGCCTGGAGTATCACACTGCGCTGGGTGGGGCAGGCCTCTGTGCAAAAACCACACCCCGCCCCCAGCCCTCACCACCCTCTCCAGGGGCCTTCTCCCAGGGGCCGGGTGCAGGGTGTTCGTCACCGGGTTTCTCACTGCCACTCTGCATGAGAGCAACGGGTTCGAGCCAGATCTCCCCAAAGAACCTTACTGAGGAGTTCTCAGGGAGAACAAAAAGACTTATGTCTGCAGAACCTGTGAACCGCACCCGCAGCCAAGTCCCCAACGCGGGGATGGCCAGCCCCGGGCCACACCGTACTGCAGCCCTCAGAGTGCGCTGTTCTCCCCAGCCCCTGTCGGTCTGCGCTGGGGGGCGGTTTGTGCAGGTGCAGGAGAGAGAGGAAGCATGCACCTGGCGCCGGAGGTGGTGCGGTGGTGGGCTGATGACCAAATGTGAGGACGCCACTTCCGGGGACTTAACTGGCTATTCTTCATCACCCGGAGAGCCTCCTCTGAGAGCTCTGACATTTTGCAGAGGCCTGGACGAGGCCGGGGCCAGGGAAGGGCGAGGTGTCCGTGGGCCATGGTGTCCGTGGGCCGTTCCCCCGTGCAGGCTCCGAGTGTGGTTCTGTCGTAGCAGAACCATGCACTGAGGGATTTAGATGATCGTTTTGCATTTTAAGCTTTTCTAACAATTCCTCCTATAGGGTTTGCCATCCCTTCCCCTGTAGCAAAAAAAAAGGGGGGGGGAGCAGAGAAGCGGCCGGTGATCCAGGAGATACAAGAGAGGACAAAGAAGTGGCATGTCTGGGTGAGGGCAAAGCCCCGAAAAGGAGAGATTCCTTGGATGGGACTGAAGCAGAGAAAAGTCTTATTAAAGGGACGGCTGGAAAGAGATGCCACAGTTACCTTGGCAACCGAGCTTCCTTCCTCATTACTTCGTCACTGTCCTCTTTCTTCTGAAAAAAGGTTTTCTTTCTGCTCGTCCCTCCTGCTCCACAAGGGGGCACAAAAAGCCTTAAAAATACTCTGTCTCTAGCCTCACTTTGTTCGGATAATTCGGATGTGTTCGTTTTCGGTATCATTTTAATCTGCAGAGGAACATCTGAGACAGAGACACAAAGTATCCAGACAGTGTTTAATGACGCCCAAGCGTTCCCCTTGGACCTTCAGGATCAACAGCGTATTAAGCCGCAGCTATTGCATGCTGGGCCCTCTGAGCCCTCCCAGGGATTAAACATCAAAATGAATTACGCTCAGGTTGGTGCTGGGCATGGCTGAATCAAGGCACTTGGTTTGCTTTGCTGTTTATTTTCCCGTGTACGAATTGTTATTTACTGAGTCCGGCAGTAGTGCTGGGACCATAGAAGTAGAGGCACATTTACAACTCGCTGAATAGTAAGCAGCGCCTCCAGCTAATGTTTGGACATGAGCCGGTTTTTGAACACGAGCAGAAATAGATCCCGCCTGGAAACAGTGCCGTCTGATTATTTTTAGTTAGAATAGACTTCAGCATCTAGAACTGTTGTTTTAGATGAACATACAAACTGAGCAGACAAGAGAGAAAGTTCTCATAGATCCCTTTCCTTCCCTGGCCTCTCCCGTTATTAACACCTTACATGGTCATGCCGCGTTTGTTGCTGTTAATGAACCAATGCTGACACGTGATTATCAACTGAAGTCCGTGGTTGATTTTAAGGTTTCCTCTGTGCTGTCCATTTCCATGGTTTTGGACACATAAACCATGCCTTGCACTGACCACCAGTGTCAGGGAGAATAGTCCCACCGCCCCACATCCCTTAGACTCCGTCTAACTTCTCTTCCCCGGAAACCCTGGGGACTGCTGACCTTTTCAACGTCTCTGTGGTTCTAAGGCACTGGGTTTTCAAGCCTAAATATACTCGTTGTCATGACCTTGGGCTGATTATCTAAAATTCCCTTATGCGATTGTTAAGTATAGTGCATGAAATGGCCTTTACCTTATGAAGCCCTATTACAGGGCCTAATTTTCAACAGCTAAATATTCCTTTCCTCTCTTTAGGTTTACAAGATATTTTAATTCCAACTTGCCCGCAAGAAACACTTATATTTTTAAAAATCAGATGGTAAACTGTGGAGTAAATATTTTAAAGCGCTAAAGATCGTTGGGTGGCAAACCCGTGAAACTGGGACCCCCTGTATTCAGATGTTGGTCACAGGTGGGCTTTGTGCAGCGAGCTGACCCAGGTGGTCTCCGCCGTTCGAGTGCGGTCGATAGGAGAAGTGAAACAAGAGTTTTCATCCCTGTGGGAAATTTCAGACAAGTTCTGCAGAACTTCACGAAGGAGAGAGAATTTTAGCGAGATTCAGTGCTTTGGAAGCTAGTTTTAGATGAAGCAAAGGACCCTCTCAGCGGGAGAGCCGGTGTGCGTGGAAATGCAGGGGTCTCGGTGAACACGGCGGGTCCCAGAAAAGCGGTCAGGAAATAGTCCCGGCCCGGGAACAGGGCGCAGAGAAGCAGGCAGGCAATGCCAGGTAAGGAGAGGCTGGGCGAGGAGAGGCTGCGAGCCGCCCAAACTCATCAGAACGAGTTAATAGTCTCAGTGTTGCTGGCCCCGTTCCTCGACCTGTTCCCTTACAGCAGCGATTCTCAACCTTTCTTGTCCCCAGGCACACGTACACTGATTCCGAAAATCCTGTGACATGCCAAAAAATATATGTTTTTTTTGCCAGTCTGACAAAAAGGAGGTATAATTTTGATTCATTTCACACCGAATGGTTATGTGGTCGTGTTGTCATTTTTTAATTTGACAATCTAAGGGAAAAGAGGTCCGTGCCCCTGACTGAGCAGTGAGGTGTCACGGGTTTTAAACATTGCGGCACATGGATGGACAATCATGCCTTGCGGGTCTCCATGGTGTCCACAACCCAGAAACATCTACAGTTCCCGTCTTTTCAGGAGACAAAGGAGAAAGCGCTGCAAGACGGCACAGGGATTTGTCCGTCTCCTTTGCCCCTTTGGGCCGTCGAGACCGCCCCTTTTCCAGCAGAGCTATGGGACTGGTTCCTGGCTCTGACTTTGCAGGCATGCCCAGACCATGAGTCCCACACTCACTGGTTGGGACTCCTTTCAAGTCCCTCCCCTGGATCTCGGCCGCTCGTGGGATGTACAGGGAGAAAGCCTGGGGCCTCTGGGCGGCTTGAGGAAGATGCGAATACCCAGGCTGCGAAGGTGGTGATGCTGTAATTGGACTACTTCACAGTTTTGGCTGGGATCGTAAGCTTTGGGTTGAGTACGGGACGGACTTGGAGCTGTAGCAAAGCAGGCTTGGCCTGTTAGGTACCCCCTTATTCTCCGCTCGCTCCTTCGGGGTGTTCCCACCCTGTGGTTTTCCATTGTCTCCTGCATTATGTTGCTCTCCTCCTCTTACCCAGATGGCACAGGACACCCGTCACCCAGACCTTGCAGCCTGAGCAGTGGGGGTGACAAGTAGCGAAACCCAGTCAGGACAGAACACCAAGACGGCCCGACTGTTCGTTCCACTCTGCTCATTATCTCCCCGTCCCCTTTCGATGACTCATTAGCAGCTCTCATTAGATGAGTGGAAGGAAGTGGGAGGGTGAGTGTGGGGTGGGGGGAGGCATTTAGGGGGCCCATGGGAGAAGGGAGTGGCCCCAGAAGGGAGCCCAACTGGGTCAGAGCAGTTACTGCAGCTGTTTTTCATTCCTCGCTGTCTCCAAGGTGTGCTGCAGACTGGGCTTGGGGCGTGACCTCCAGCAGGTGTAGAAGTTGAGCTGGGGGTGGGGCGGTCTGCACATGGAGCTGAGGTGCCCCGATGCTTCTCCAGAGCCCCCCTCCTCTGTTCGCACAGCTGGGGTGCTTGCTGGGGTGCAGGTAGAGAGAGCAGCACAGGAAGAGGTCGGGGCCAGGATGTGGTGCTGCGGCTGTCCTGGTGCTCAGAAGGTGGGTGGGGGGAGGGACTTTCACAGGCATCCCAGAGGCAGGATCTGGTAAATGTCAAACCACATCCTGTTGTGAGTCCCCAACGAGAGGCAGGTGGGTGGCTGTTACTCCCTGGGCTGATGTTACTCAGAGATAAACAGCCAGGCTGCCAGTGAGCGCTGGGTTCAGACACCCTGTCCCTTCTTCCCCAGGTGTCTCCCGAAAGACCCCACTGCAGATCCTTACTTCCTGGCCTTTGATGCAAGGCCGTGGTCTCCTCATTCATGGCCCTGGAGCTCTTTCCTAGGGGAGGGTTGAGGGCACAGGTGTCAGGGCACCAGGTTGGTGTCTTGGGGAACTGTGGGGCCCAGGGTCAGCCTCATCCCCCCTTACACCATCGCCACCCTCTGAGGCTGTGTCAGGGGTGTGAGTGATTTGCGTCTGGGAAGAGCTTAGATTCCCCAGCTGAGCTGCCTTCCTTATGGGGTTCGAGGCCTGCAGACATTGAATCGCTGAATCTGAAGAGCAGAGCTGGAAGGTTGCTTAGAGATCACTTTTCCCCAACTCCGCACCTCTCAGAGGAGGCTATAGAAGCCCCGAGAAGGAAAACGAGGTGTCCAGGGCCATGCAGCTGTGGGCAGAGGAGGGCCAGGAGCTATTCTCTGCGCCTCAGCAGCTCCTGCATCTCAGACAACGCTCAGGGAACTCGGGCTTTACATTGAGCTGAGCTCTTCCTACACATTTCATGAGCTGCATGAGTAAGAACGAATAAGGCATGGCCACGGTATCTGAGGAGGCAGGAGGCTGGAGGGGTTAATACGATGAACCACAATGAGAATCCTGCAGAAAAGAGATAGGGTGGAGACACGGGCCGAAGACATACGATAAAATGAAACAAGCATTCCCCACCCCCAGCCAACCTCCAGAACAGAGAGAGTGCCAACCGTCCGAACACTGGAAGGGTAACACACGGCTTCTGTATTGCACACATACGCAGTGCGTGTGAAAAAGACGGGGGCTGGAGTGAAAAGTGAGCTCTGTGTGTCAACGGGGTGAAGAGCTGCCCTAAGGGCCAGTGGAGAGGATGCTGGGAATAAGGAGGCACAGAGCCTCCTGTTCTGGACACTACCCCTTTAGAGCACGTTTTCAGAGCAGAGTGGCTGGGCCATGGAGAGCAGGGGCTGCTCAAAACTGGGCCGCATGGGACACGTTTAACCTGAAAAATAAACCTGTAGGCTGATACTAGTTATTATAATAGCAGCCGGGGCTTATTGATGCTGTGATGAGAGCTT